TTTTGCTGTCTTTTTTTTTTGGAGAGGACTTCTTGTGAGGCAGCGGCATATCCCTTGGCCAGTGATGGGGTGGCGGGTGCAGAGGCTGAGCCGGCAAGAGGGCAGGTGTCTCTGCAGTGAGGCAGAGGGGAGGGGGGCCGCTCGGGCAGCTGCAGTTTGCCGCAGTGTGTGAGTGTGCGCGCTGAGCTCAGGCTCCAGCTCCGCCCCCACCACAGCATGACAAGTCATTTTCTTGGCTGCCTCTGCATGGGGGGTGGGGGGGGGCGGCGAGGGAACACAGAGAGGGAGAGGAAACTGGCTCCTTGGTTCAAGAGCCCCTATCTTGGGAAAAGAAGCAGAGATGAGGTGGGGGTGGGGCTCAGACTGGGAACCCGTGGGGTTGACAGTACTGAAAATGCAGGGCAGCTGCTCTGGAGGGAGTGCTCTTAATCTCCAGAGGGGCCTCTCAATCTCCCAAGGGAGCCAGAAAAGGGTGGGGGCTTAAGAGTCACAATCTCAAGCTGGGAAAAGGGTGCGGGGAGCCCACTGCACATTGGTTGGTCTGCGAAGGCGCGTGCCACATCTTAATGACCCTTTCCTCCCTTCTTTTTCCACAGTGTCCCCCACCTCCCCTTACTTGGCAAAAACTCGCTGTCCTGCTCACCCTCAGCATAGGAGCAGCTGAGCAATCTAGCAGCTGACACCATTAGGTACATTCCCATAACATCCGCTTACCCTCAGATTCTTCTACCCCTGCCCAAAGACACAGCCCCCAAACTCCTCCAGAGGCCCAGGCTGCCAGGCAGAGCCAGGGACACCACCCTTTGCTGTTGCCCCTAGGCTTATGTCTCCCGGCCCAACCCAGCCTGAGAGGTGGACTGTCACTGTCTTGGCCACATTGGCCTCTGCCTGGTTCTGCGTCCAGGCTGGCCCCATAGCCAGTAATTTTCATCTTCTTTCTCCGTTCCCCCACCCTGCCCACCCCGCTGGGCCAGTTCCAGACACACCAGTTTAGGTATCGACTCCCCTCCCGTTACTCCCATCCCACCTCCCTATCACAGCATCCTCCAACCCCCATGCCAAGCCCTTCGGTTCCGTTTGTTTCTTACCCTGGGTGTGGGAGGGAGCCCCTCATGGAGGCTGCAGCTCCGGCCTCAGCCGGCAGCTTCAGGGAAGAGTCTGCAGCACTTTGGGTGGGAGTGGGGGGGGGGCGCTTGATGGGGAGGGCGGTGCCAGGGCGGGGAAGAGGGGCTGGTCCATGACGAGGCACCGGAGACTTAACTGTTTCTTTGCCTTCACAATGTCAGTGCTCTGGTGCTTCTGCTGGGGCTGAGGAGTTATCTAACAGCTCAAAGAGCCAGGGTGGTCTCCAGTGGCCCACAGGGCCCTTCCCCAACCCTGTTTGGTCAAGAAATACTGTTAGCAGCATCAGCCAAAAGACCAAAGCCCTGTGCTATGGCACATTTCAGAGGATACAGGAGGCATGGGTTGCCCGGGCCCTCCTCCTTCTCTCAGGAACCATCTGCTGTCTCGTTCCTCAGACCCAAGGAGTGACCTTCAATTCCTGGAGGAGCAGGAGACAAAGGGGCTAGGGGCCTGAACGCATGGGATAGGAGTAAAGGGACTACTCGAGAAGAAGGCTGGGGACAGGAGTTGCGCTGAGTTCTGCTGGCTTCTGAGCCACAGCTACAGAAAGCAGGGGAGGGCAGAAATAAGTCTCTTTTTAGGGTGGAGGGTAGTTTGAAATTCTGAAGTGGACACATGGTCCTAGACAGTCTGGGGTGGGGCACAAGGACCCTGGGAGCATGCAATTCTGTGTCAATGCAGCACAGTACAGTAACCACACAGGACCTGATACTTGGAATTCTTGGGTCACCGGGTATGAAGAGGCAGAGTGCTTTCTGCCTTTCAGTGAAAGAGTTAACGGGGACCAAGGAAGATCACCAGGGCCCCAGGCCTAAGCAAAATTTTCTTACTATTGGCCAATTGTTAAATGTAACATAAAATACTCTTTGGATTAAAAAAAATCTTATAATGACTTTATAGAGTGTTGGATCCCTATTCTTTCCTTGTCTCTGCACTTTCCGTGTCTCTTTGATGTCTTGGTCTTATACTATCTTAATTCTTCTAATATTGACCCTGTTTCCCTTTGTCTCTACCTCTGTCTCAGATTTAGTGACCTGCACTAGAACTCAAAGGGAGGATCTAGAGAGCTCTAGCACTCAGTTCCAACTGGGTGATGCTTGCGCTTCCACATAGTTCTTACTTGCCTTGCCTTCTTCCCTTCCATCAACCTTCCCCAGTCCTAGCCAACTCCTAAGGCCTTCCATACATCGACATCCACCCACTCATACACCAGCACCAGCACCACCCTTGCCCCAGGCTGCCAAGTACAGCTTTTGAAGGTCAGAGAAGCCAAAATAGTCTCTGCTCTCAGCATCCCCATCCCCCTTAACTGCCTCCAGAGGAGAGGAGGAGCTGAGGGAGCTGAGTCACCAGTACTGGAGGGGGGGAGGAGTGGTGGGGAGGCCGAGAGGAGGACAGAGGAGGAGGAATCCTTGCTTAGATCCGGGGATGCAAAGCAGCAACATGACAACAGCCCCTTTTGAATAGAGGAAGCCATCTGCAGAGATACACAACATAAACCAGGCTGAGTTCCGAGCATCACAAAAGGGAAACACTTCCCTTCTGCAACTTCGTACTTCTTATTTCCTCCCATCTTAAACCTCCCATCTCCTCTGTGCTTTCTAGGGCTCTCTGGACTGTGCTAAGAGGGAAACTTGAGTAGACATTTGGCTTGAGAACAAAACATTTTCCAGCCCAGTACAGAGCCCACCCTTATTCTCAGCTTCTACCCCCAAGGGCCACACCCTGGGCACAGTTCCATCTTGCAGTGGACTTTTCCTTCAAGCCCTCACCTTCTAAACAGCCACTCATCACAACCAACCCTTTACCCCTTGTGTTCCTAGGCTCTGCTGCAATTAAATGGAGAGATGCCAAAGAAGAGAGAGACCTGAGCTCAAACACAAAATAAGATCCAAAGTCTTGGATTTGAGACCTGACTCTACCATTTTACTAATCATGCTATTAAATGAGCCATTTAATCTCTCTGAAAGCTTGCTTCTAGAACTATAAAATGAGTATAAGATTAGTACCATCCTCCAATGATACTGTGAGGGGTGAATGGCATAAAATATGAAAAAGTGCTTCATTCCTAGAATCCTAAACCTACAGTGCACAAACGCAGTGGAAGTCCATCTCCCTTTTGTGGAAGATCTATGAGAGGTCATTTAGGTGATCAGGGAGATCCTAAATCAGAATCTCAGACCAGACCAACTCTTAGCTGCCAGGTATGCCCAGAACTGGAGGTGCCTGCAAGAGAGGACTTCAAATACTATTTTTGTCCTTGCTTTCCCATTTTAGACAGCAATGAAAACCCCAGTTGCAGGGGGTAACAAGCTGCTCTATTAATTCAGAATGGCTTTTATGTTTGCAGGTAACAGAACTAATACCTCCTGAGCACACCAGTGATAATGGAGAGTCAGACAGGTCTCCAAACTGGTCCTTCAGCCTGTGTGTTTCAGAGTCCTAGAATATCAATCATGAATTATAAATTATGAAGCCCTCTCCCTTTCCTAGAGGTGCCCAATAGAAGTATCAGAGTGTTATTTAAATTCAGTTTTCCACTATCATAATGGTTTCTGGTTTTGTTTTATGATGCTTGGAAGTTCCATATTTTTCGCAGGGGTTAGAAAGGAATAACGTATCTCCAAGTCACCACTGAAGACTGACTACCTGGTGCAAAATTCACCTGGAAAAGCCATTACCAGATTTGACCGCTAGAAGGAGCTGGGCCACTGACTCTCTCTCCATCAGAGGGTCCCTCCTTTTCGTGAGTGTGAGGGTGTGGAGCGGGACGTAGCTAGGACTGATTGCACTCTTCCTGTCATTCATTGTAGGATATACTTTTGTCCCTTCTCAGCATTTTGGCCCAGGGTTTGAGTTGAAGCGAGAGGGATGGTGGCCCAGCCTGTGGGGGTGGGCAGAAAGGATTAAGTCATAAAGTACTAGTATATCCCCTTGAGCCCATCCCAGCAGCCTGATTCCCTTTGCCTTCCCCATTAAAGGGAGGCTCAAGGGAGGGGCTGTGTCTGCAGCTGCTCTGTTGTTTGTGGGGACAGCTGAAAGAGGAGCCAGCAGGGGTGGGGCTGTGGCGGTCTTGAGCCATGTGGGTTTTTCCAGGAAATTCTTCACTATTCTCCAGGGACATAGAGAGGCCACCATAAAAATGTCCAAACCTAAAAAAATTCAGTAGGCTAAAGTAAATCCTGATCGTGGGTGTATGGCCCTAAGCCCCTTGAGGACACCATGGCATATCCTCTTTGACTGAAAAGATCTAGTAGGTGTTTATATATCAGTGTTTGTTTCTGAGAGGTTCCTGGGAGTAATTATGCATCTCCCTGTAAATGTCTTCCCAAGCATCCCTGCATCTTAATTTGAAGAATAGCTAAGTATTTTGGTTTAAGTTCTGTTCATTCATACGTTATTCCAGAAAGCAGCCTAATCTTAAGTCTCTGTGGCCAAAAGGACAAGGTTAGAAATTTCAGTGAATTATTAACATCAGAAGATACTCCCCAAACTTCAACTCAGTTGTTAATTTTATCTGCTATCATCTCCTCATCCAAACTTGCACCAAAGCTCCTAGGAGTAATAAGTGGTAAAACTATTGATTTTCAGTCATCAGTGCTAATGGAGTAAGCCATGACATGAGTAATTCTAAACAGAAGGCAGTCTCAAAACAGCGAGTGGCTAGCTTCACAGGAAGCTAGTCGCATCAAGAAGATGCCAGTCTCACATTTTTTAAATGCCGCACATATTCCTAGGATAATAAATCATTAACATATTCACCTTGTCTTCTTTCTCCAAAAACGTCTCTAAAAGTAGTCAGTGATCAGGGAAATGACCAAAGATGTGGCAGTTAGCAGGAGGAATAAGAAGAGAAGGGGAGGTGACCATCTTCTATATTGAATAACTGAGAATTATCTACATAAGATATGAATTCAATCATTTGATACAGTAACTGTTCAGTTGTATGGATTTTAAATTCCATACAGGCACTGGAGCGTGGATTGGTGTGTCAACATTTACCAACAACATGGCCAGAATGCCCAGTACTTTTATATAAGATATAGGGTTTTCTACAGTTTCCCCACGGATATTGTCATGGAATGATAGCTCCTAAAATGGTACTTACTCAAATCTCTGACCCATTTCTCCCACCTAGCCGAATGGGAAACTACATCCTGTGAACTTTGATCTCAGAGTCAAATCTTGGAGTGTGACTAGCTCTTGTAGCAGCAAATCTGGGAGTCCCTGCTTCCACCCTGGATTTGATGGTGCTCATCAGCCTTTGATACCAGATTTCTGATGTGCTCTGGAGATCTGTTGGCTGATCCAAAGGAGGAACCAGAAACCCTGAAACCTGGGACAGTAGGCTATGTGGTCTAAGGGAAAGTTCTAAGCAAGGATCTGGGAAGGTGGGTTGGGGATTCAAGGGTCTCTGTAAAGAGATCCAAGAAGGCTGGAGTACACAGAAATGGGAACACAAAAAAAGTAGATTTTTTGCATGGGAGATGATTGATCACTCAGGAGAAGTACCTTGTTTCCTTAGTGCATGTCAATAGCTGTCCATAAAATACCGTCTTCTCAGGTAGAAATTATATTCTCCAGTTTCTTTCCACCACCATACCATCTGTCTTCGAAGTGTACTGGGTATGTGGGGATAGCTATGGAGCTTTACAACTTTTCTCCAGAGTCCTTCCCTTCTCCCCAACCCAAATCTCCCACAAGTCCAGTTCTGCTAGGGAGACCAGACCTCTGCTCTTCTGTGACCAACCCTCACCCAAAGGACTGAGACAAATGACACTGATCCTAACCTTTGACCTCTGAGGAGAAGTGAGCTAGGTGCCTGGTAATGAAGAGTCGCAACTGCTGGTTCAAGTCAAAGGATGATAAGTCAACATTCCAGGAGAGAATCCCTGTGAGACAAAAAGAAACAAAGAGGGCTCTAAATAAGTTCAGAAGAGCTGGACTTCAGGGAGCAGTTCTAAGCTTACAAGAGGGGTAAGGAGAGGGAGGAGATAAGGACAGCTGCCCTGATCAGCCTCACTGATATCTTTAAGAAAGGTTGTTAATGCCTCTGTCTCTCTTCAATTCTGTGCCTCGGGCTTTGCCTGAGCCAGATGAGGAAGGGCAGAGTTTAGGCTAAACTTGGTCATTAGTGAGTTCGTATGTAGGAATTTTCTTGCAGAGTTGCCCAATTGTGATAGAAGTGACACCCAAGGGCCTATCCCAGATTCTGGGGGCTGCCTTACTGGTCCTTACAGCTAAGTAGGATTCTAGACTCTCTTTCTATGCCCCCTCCTTGCCTCCACCCCTTCGCAGCTTGCTTCCACCCGCAGGTGGCTCCGCAGCACTGCGCCACTGGCAGGCAACTGGGGAGGGAGGTGAGGACTGAGGAGCTCGCGGCCACAAAGGTCACTCTCAGGTTGGCCACCGACACTGGGAGATTTGAGATTTGTCTGCAGCGTTCAGAAGGCACCCTGTGCCTGTTCAGGGATCCTAAAGAAGAAACTAAGGTAGGGACATGGACTCCCCAGGGGAAGGTGAGGACTTTCAGGACATCTGGCCCGAGACACTGCGGGAGAGAGGGTGTGACCAGAGGGGCCCCAGGCACTGCACAGAGCTCCCCCGCCTCCGGGAGATTGCGGTACGCCATGGGGTGTGCGGGAAGGATGGGGAAGCGAGATGTTGGCAGCACGGAAGGATACGGACGCGTGACATGGAAGATAAAGGTGACAGGGGCTGATGATTCAGATTAACAGAGTGCACAGTGCACACTAGGGATGAAGGATGCAGACGTACGCTCTGGGAGGTAAATGGAGATGGCGGAGAAGCTCGGGATGGAGGATGTCCCAAGCACAGCCAGGACAGCGGCTCACCTTGTTCAAGGTGGGCCCGCACGGCCCTCAGCTGACTTTCTGTACCGATATCGCCGATCACGATGAGCAAAGAGTGTTTCCGCAGGTCCCAGCATGCCGCCGCCACCGCGGCTCCGGCCTGGCACAGCGGCTCCGCGGGGTTTTGAGACAGCGGTGAGCCAGAGCTTCGGAGCCCTAGCCCGGGAGTTGTCTCCATGGTAACGCCGCGAGGCCGCCCCGGCCCAGACTCGGTCTCCATGGAAACTCTGTTGGAGTGCTAGGCTGGCAGCGTCCGCCGCAGGGAGAGTGCGCGCGGTTCTTAAAGGCCAGAGGCGGGAGCCGCTCATTGGCTGCTCCCTGTCAGGAGGCGGAGCACTGGCGCCGCAGGGGCCGGGCTGGGGCTGGGCCGCCCCGGCTC